TTGTATCTGGAGGCAAACTTGAGCTCATTCTATTAGGTCTGTGACTTTAACAGCATTCTGTTAGACAAACGCTAGTCCGCCTGTACTGAATGCATGTTTTAATGTTATGATAGAAAGTATGTATCTTGAACGTCTGAGGGGAGTGATATTCTGATTTGGGCACTTAAATGCACAGTTCTCGTGATTAACCTTAGGGACGGAAACAGAGAATAACATATCTTTGAGCAAGTTAGGCAGTAGTCAGAAGATAGGCGCCGAATTTGGCGGAAGCCAATGGTGTCTTGAGAGTACTGGCTGAGACTTAAAAGTCCAAGAAGTCGAATGAAAGAATGATTCATCTCATAGGGCATATATTCCCGGAGCAAGAGGACCCGAACAACTGGTAGATGAACGCATGTGACCCGTCTGATATAACAGGCGCTTTTGATCTAGAATGCTGCAATTCTTAACACAGATTTACAATGAGATCGCGTCTTGTCTATTGCACTCATATAGGAACATCGTCCAAACCAGGCTTAGTATCGGATCCAATGTTCCTGCCTCCCTTTGACTACTAATGTTGCCGGAGACGAAGGGAAAGTGGATATCTTAGTGTGCGATCATACCATTTTGTTCTTGTGAACACTGGCAGTGCGATTCGAGATTCATAAACTGGATAAAATACATATACTGGCCACCACTTTGTATTCTAATGTTGCTCCATTCGTCTTTATACTCGCGAAACTCGTGGCTAACTGTATGAAAGTTGCCATACAGTTTGATACAGATATGGCGATCACGAAAGGAACTCGACCTGCTTTGAAGAAGAAACGATTAAGAGCAAATTCATTATATCATGGTAAAAGGCAAGCCTTTGAATCACATTTACTCATTCGAAATACTCACTCCAGGTAATTTACTGAACAATATTGAAGTATGGATGAAAGCAAGCCGTAGCCAATAACATCGTTGGAGTGGAGTCTTGTGAGACCGTGCCGAAAGTGTCCTTTGACACTGTAAAACACTGTACGCGACTCGTTCTTGTTGCCCCTGTCAGTAGGTGTGATCGGTTCTTGTTCAGCTATTTTATGAGGAGGAATGCGTCACAGGTGGAAAGTCTGCTTTCGCATCAAAGACTTTGGTCAGCTGTCTCTAATGGCGAAATCGCACTGGCATATATCTCTATGACTCAGTGGAGAAGCTTTCCAAGATGTATCCAAGTCACAAGCTAAATTTTTCTCCTCACACTTTCATCACCTCATCATCAACCTGCTCCCTTCAGGTATCATCACAACCGTGACTAACCCTGGCCACTCACGAATTGACTTTATTCCAGCAAGTCAAACTAATCAATTGTAATCCACCGAGCTCAGTCACAATGTCTGCTTTGACGGAAATCTCGCTCCCAAGCTTTCAAAAGATTGCTTCGGGCAAAGTGCGCGACCTGTTCGAGCTGCCAGACAAGAACACTCTTCTCTTCGTGGCTTCCGACCGTGTCTCCGCGTACGACGCTGTTCTGAAGAACCCAATCCCTGACAAGGGCAAGATTTTGACCCTCGTCTCGGCTCATTGGTTCCAAGTTTTGACAGAGCGCATTCCTGGTCTCCGCACCCATTTCATCAGTCTCGATATTCCCGAAGGCGTTACTCCCGAAGAAGCAAAGACCATCAAGGACCGTTCGATGGTTGTGAAGAAGCTTTCTGTCATCAAGATCGAATCAATTGTGTACGTCCCCCGTCATAATGCAAAAGTACCACGCGAAACCCTCCCCTGCATATGAAATAGGTCTTCAGTTTCGTGCTCTGTAGGGACGTTTAAGCACTAACAGTCCAACAGACGAGGTTACCTAACAGGCTCAGCTTTCAAGGAGTACAAGCAGAAGGGAACCGTTCATGGCATTACCGTCGAGCCTGGCATGGAAGAAGCCCAAAAGTTCAAGCAGCCTCTCTGGACTCCAAGCACCAAGGCTGACGCTGGAGAACACGACGAGAACATCCACCCAGATGACGCTTGGAAGGAGGTTGGTGATCGTGAGACTGCAGACCGCGTGAAGGAACTCTCCCTCAAGATCTACGAGGAGGCCGCCAAGTACGCCGAAGAGCGAGGCATTCTCTTGGCCGACACCAAGTTTGAATTTGCCAAGGATACGGAAGGAAACATCTACCTCGTCGATGAGGTTCTGACCCCTGACTCTTCTCGATTCTGGCCAGCAGCCGGCTACATGCCTGGCCGCGACCAGGACAGCTTTGACAAGCAATTCATCCGCAACTGGCTCACTAAGGAAGGACTCAAGGGCAAGGAGGGTGTGGAGCTACCCCAGGATATCGTTCAAGCTACAGCAGACCGCTACCGAGAGGCCTTCCTCATGTTGACTGGTAAGAAGTTCGAGGATGCTGTTAGCCAGTAGGTGGCAGATACAAGTGCGTATCAAGATAAGGTATCAAATCATCATCACTCGGACTGAGGTTTGATTTCTAGCGTGATATCAAAGCTACAGTTCCTTATATTCCTATGTGTGCTGGCTGGCTGTATTCTACCTCTAACTTTGAAATTTCTGACACTTGTCTGAATTTGCCCGTCATCAGTTTGATTATCTTTTCCTACTGCCATTCAGGCTAAGATATCGCTTTATGGATTCTAGAATTATTAGCATTGGCACTTGGTCTTTAATGCAATAACCATCAACGTACCTCCGAAGCCCCTCGGTAACTGTTCTTGGATCTTGCGAATATACCATTCGGAACCACCCCTGCTCGATAGAATGCTCCTCGCGAGGGTGCAGAAACACACCCATCTGGTGCAACCTTTTCGCGAGAGCAAATTCTTGATTCGACTCTCCGTCGAAGTCGGATGGAAGGTATGGGGATAGGTCGACCCAGATAAAAAACCCTGCGTTGCTGCCGGGTAAGTACTTGATACCCATGTCACGGAGCTGGGACGTGATATGGCGATGGGCTTGTGCAAGCTTTAGCCGTGAAGAGTCAATAAAAGCTCGACACCACGCTCGATCCTCAAGCATAGCACTTCCGATAGCCAAGCTGGCTCCAGAGGGGTTATTGAATCGCATGGCCGCTTCGATAGCACGGAGGACAGGTTGGCTGCGAGTGATTATGACACCAAGTCGAAGACCAGCCGCACCGAAGTCTTTGCTAAGACCATAAGTGACATGAAGAAGTTCTGGATCTATAATGCCAGTTGGATTAATTGAAAGTATCGAGGTGAAAGGGGCTGCCGGCTCATCTGAGTCGAAAACAGAGCAGGCGTATATCTCATCGCTCAGTAGATGCAGTCTATGTTTCTGGCAGAATTGCATTATACTGACGAGCGTTGACTTATGGTAACAGCGGCCTGGGAATTATTAGGTGATTGGGCGAGGAAAGTACAAACATTTTCTCACCAAGGGGATTATGGGGATTAACGATTAGCACCATCTTGACATCAACCCCGGCCTTGCGGGAACGCAGCAACGCCTCCTCGAACTTTTCGACAATATCATCTTGGAGCGCTTCTTCTATCTTGTTGCCGGAGTACACGACTCTGACTTGAGACATGTTACCGAAATCAAGCTCGAATCGGCCATATATAGGCCTGCTGCTCAATACACCTTCCCCGGGATTCGTGACTCCCCACGCGAGAATATCATGCATTGCGGTAGCCGCACCAACGCACCGAATCATATCAGGAGTTACAGGGCTATAAGGTTGAAAGTATTCATTGAGGTGGGCCGCTAATGCTTTGGGGAAGCGAGAACCCCCTGCATGACTACCTCGGTAGAGGAAATCTTCCTGTGAGATGGTGACCTATGTGCGTGGGTTATAAGCTACTCTGGTTTCCAGAATTGGCAAATGCGCTCCTACGTTCTTGTCTGTGAACTCCTTCAAATCATTTGTCACCAAAGCCTAATATGGTCAGCATTCTGAAGCACTGGCTAAAAGGTTCTCGTACATTTTCAGCTGTGCCAAAGGATATCAAACCATTTGGGTTATGGTCTGCATCATAGTCTCCCCTCGGTGCGAACCTCCATGGAAGATCTAGTCCGCCAACTGCCTCTGTGGCTCGTTGTGATAGAAAACCCATCTTTGAATCGGAGAAGTCAAGGTTTATCAACATGGTGAAGGCTTCACTTGAGAGATGTTGTCTTGCAACAGCGGGGCTGATGAGTCAGCTGCCCAATGCAAGATCTGCAATACTTGCTCAAACTGACTCTTGCTGGCCTTTGGAGGTATTATAAAGTTATATATTTGGTTAATGGTGGGAGGTTGTTGATTGAAACAGGAAGTGATATATTGGCTGTGAGATACGGATAGTTCTTGTATTATCCCCGCTGGCGTTGCCAGCCTAGGCATATTATATACGCATTTCTTAAGATGAAACGCGGTATTGACGAAGAACCTTGATGGGCAGGTAATTGAGCAGAGCTGGTCCACGATCAAATGTACACGCGCTCCAGGTCCTTTGAGGTTCTTTCGAGTGAGCTCGCGTTGTTTGATACCAGAAATGGGTAGATGGTGGATTTGGCATTGTGAACGCCTTGAAGAGCGAGCAAGAGAACTTCTGACCCTGAACTGAGGTGCTGAAAACGCTTATGAAGGCAGTCTAGAAGACTACTCAATCTATCATAAATACATGCCAGACTCTTTGTCATTTAGAATAGAGATTGTAAATTTCCTTGCCTCCTATTTGGCTGACGTCAGGTGTAACGGGCCGGGCCGAGCTATCAACCCGCTGGCCGAAATGCCGCAGCACTGAGCCTCTTGGGTACAGATATATAGCCCTATTCTCTTTTGGAGTGGTAAAGAATCCATCGCTAAAAACTAATGAATTAAATGCCAATAGATGGTCAAATTGGCATATTTCGGTTGAATGTTGGTTTTGGCCCAGTTCTTTCGCGTGTCGCGCTTACCCATGAGACGCGTGCCACTTTTGACGTGTGACAAACTCTAACCAAGTAACTTCTTTCATCGCATCTTGTCTCCTACCTAGACATGACATGACACTTTACACCCCAACATACCTTCGGGATGTTACAACCACAACACGTCATCGAAATTAGTGATGACGATGATGACGACGCGTCTGAAATTGAAGAAACTGACTGGAAGAAGAAGCTGTTCGCGTCCCTGAATGCCATTCAGGCAGAACCTAAACTTGTATGCTTCAGAAGCTACCAGGAGTTCGTCAACCCAGGTCTCAAGATTGGAGGGCAGCAAATAATACCGCTACCTCTAACAGATCACTATGCCGATATCATCAAACAGCTGAGCCACTCGGTTCAGGGTACTGACAACAAGGCCCAGAATGTCTGGGAGCTTGACCGTGCGCAGTTCGACTTGATCAATCCAGCTTGGCCGTCATGTCTGGACAGGATAACACAGGAAATCACCAAGGAGCTGGACATAGAAAATGCCTTGCTGAGTCCCACAAAGTTGACGCTTCAAGGGCTGGGCCCTGTAGCCGAGCAAGACCAGCGTCTTGAGCAATCTGATCACATTGTCGGCCACATTTCCGTTTGTCTGCCGTCTGAGCATCAGGGTGGAGATATTGGTGTATCTCTTGGTGGAAGAAGGACAACTGTATCAACTGCAACTTCATCGGCTCTCGACCTGTCCGCCATCGGTTGGATTTCTCCTGCACACAGTTTGGCCACGGAATTGGTCTCCGGATATCGTCTCACTATTTCGTACATAGTCCATCGGTTCAGCGATGGGCAAAGCACTGTCCCTCCGTCATATGTGGGAAGTGGCCGTGTGGAAGAAGTTCTTCAGATGTGGCAGCGCCGACATTTTAGCACCAAAAAGATACTGTATAAGTTGGACGACAAGGAAGGCACGGGGGTTCTTTCTCTCCAAGAAGCAAAAGGCCGGGACAGGGCGGTTTGTGATACTTTGTCCACTGCTTGTTCAGAAGCTGGGCTTTACATGCTGTTTGCTGAAATCACGCAGGAGGTCACTTATAATACCCTTCGAAAAACTGTGGAAAGTTCAATCAACGGACTCTTCACGCCTGAAGGTCAATTCTTGGCAGAAAACAAAGAGCTTGATGCAGAAAACGAGGTATTGGGCTTTGACGTGGATCGGCAATGGGAGATTGAACCTGCCAGTGATGATGACGAGGGCATGAGTAATGAATATCTCATGGAAGAGCACGACATGACTCGCCGTTGGCACGACCATGCTGTTATTCTGATACCTAAGCAAGGATTGCTGGAGCTGGTGAGACCAGATGGTAGTCCAAACACCTCTCGGCGGCCAGGACTACCTATTCGAGATCAAGAGACCCATCATCCAGGTGTGGCACCTGTTGTTGCGATGGTCGTGGACGACTTGGAGAAGAATCCTGCGGGTGCAATCAAGGTGGCAGAAAACATAATCGACAAGCTTTGCGACCCTGGGAATGATACGCAAGTGCTATGCACATGCATCAACCCCATTGTGAACTGGTGCTTGAGGTCTGGTTATATGCCATTATATACAACAGCTTTCCGGAAAACACCCATAACTGTAGTGCATGTACTTACAGAGTATCTTGCAAGCAAGTATGAAGGCTCAGAAGATTCTATCGATTGGAAAGAATGGTATGTTTCATGCGTCTAAAGCTGTGCATTACCTAACCTCAGTACAGGCTTGACGATATCACAAAGAAGCCCATTGTGGAACTTGGAACATGGTATCGCGACTTTTCGCGTACTATCCTGGCTGTCAGTCCACCTGTATGGAAATCTTTCGATGAATGGTCCGAGACAATAATGGACGAGAAGCTCAACACAGAGCTCAATTGGGAGTATAAAGATCTAGAAATGATTCTTGACTTAATACGGCTCCGTGGCGACAGTACTCAATGGATTGTCAATAGGTTCGTCTATCTTCTTTTGCCCACCGTTACTTACTTAAGTCGATTTGGTGCTCATGCGACGGTTTTAGGCTGCTTCCCAGAGTTGCGTCTGGGCGTCACAGCGAGAGCCATAGCGCACTTTTGATTCAACTTCTATTTCACATTTACCAGTTCAGAAATGAACCACAATTTAAACATGCAAAGAAAATGTTCAAAGGCATTATAAATCACAGCGATGGTGAGCTCAACTTCTCACCCCTTAGGCTTGAGCCTACGGAAGAAGCTTGGTTGGTTGAGACTCCAAGACACGATTTGATCTGCGCCCCTTTCATTCGGCTCATCACTGAGTGTCACGCTATAGGAGCATTCGTAGAAGCTTCTAGGGTAATTGAAGAGACATTTTCTCTCTTTGTGGCGGAGAAAGCGAGGTGGATTCTTGTCAAAGATCCATTCGGCATTATCTTCTGCTTGATCACCCCCCTCATTCGTTTGGCCGCAGACGGCCTGTGGAGGAAAATACCAGCTTTGTTGGATACTCTCGAGCTTCTTGTGCGCAAAATTATCCGCCTTGACTTGCCCAGGCAATCCCAGGCTGGCGGCGGATTGGTTTTCCGAGAGCGAGGTTGTGGGTTCTGTGAGGATTGTGCTGAGCTGGATCGATTCCTGACTTCGCCTCAGAATACTGTCTGGGAATTCAACGCACCAAAGACTCGAAGGTTGCATATCGAACATGCTATTGGGGTAGAAAAGTCGCTCCAAGCCTTAAGGATATTGGATCAGACAACCGGCACGTGTGAGAAGCTCAAAGTGACCAAGACGGCGGTTCAGGCTGAACCTGACTTGCGAAGCTGGATTTACAACTACAATGGCTTAGAGAGAGTTCTTCAACCTCTCCGGGGTGACTTCATGAGGAACGCACTTGGTGAGCAACGATACCGTGAGATCATCTTGCTGGCGGGAGTAAGTCCATACGGACCGCCACTGAACTCCCCTGAAGTAAGAAGGCCACCCACTGCGGACGAATCACAGCCTGTTAAACGACTTTGCACCTCCGAGATGGGCGGCATAGACCAAGGTTTGCCGCACAATCAAAGAGACGGTCAAACAGCAAACCAGACAGAAGCGGGCAACGTTTAGCGCCGCGGACAAACAGGTTCTTGTCATGATTCGTTTCCCACATTTGGTCTTATTAGCAAGATGGTTTGGGTCCCTGCATTCACCTGTGCCTTGTGGCAACTGTTATCCAACGTTGCACACGGATGGCGCAACGGCCATTTCCAGCGGGCAGTCCTACCTGTTCGTCATCCTTGACAAGATACATCAACCCTTCGCAACTCCGCGATATTACCGAAACGTCGACCAAAGACCCAAGTTTGGTCAAAGTGACGAGTTCGACCATACCGTGTCTGCCTATTCAGATGAGAAATATGCCGATGTAGTCGCACGGGCTTGACTCAATCACATCCACCAGTGAAATTGGTACCTTCGATACTTACACTGAATACGCGAATACAGGTCTTGTAATCGAAGGGCATCGTCCTATCCGCTTACCACTGAAAGACGATGATGCGCAGGCAATAAAAAATGTTTGCCAACGGGTGCCGGCAATCTGAACTCCGCAACAGGATGGTCGTCGACACTACGGCACGCAATACATGGAAGCTCGATGCCTCGAAGTTCAATCTCGTGAACAAGAACTGGTTCGAGGACTTTAGCTCAAGGATACTGCGTGATACGGCCAAAGGACTCGGTATGTTCGAACTACGAGCAGATCCTCACAAGCTTTTCCTCTACGAACTCGGATCGTTCTTCCAAGCCCATAGTGATTCGGAAAAGGAACAAGGCATGGTCGGAACTCTTGCTGTCTGTCTTCCCTCGCAACATGAGGGCGGTGACGTTTGCTTGTCCTTTCGATCTCAAAAACGGCGTCTTTAAATAGCCGAAAACTCCGAGTTTGACCTCACAGCCATGTCCTGGTATTCACATGTGACACATGAAGTCGAGCGACGGACATCTGGATATCGACTTGTCCTCACCTACAAACTCTTTGCAACGGGGGAGGATGAACTATCGGCCTGCACTTTCTTCCAACGAACCAAGGGCCTCAACTGCTCTCTCGAAGGTCTCGCACCAGAGACGAGGATTATTTCTTGACAGAAATGGTTTATTAAGATCTTATGAAGAACCGAGATAATCCATACTCAAGACAACATGCTACATCTTTCACGGAGAACGCTTTGTATATCAGCAGGCCATCCCCGCTTAATGGTAGAGCTCCAGGTCTTATCTTGAAGTGTGCTTTGGAGCTCTGGAACACGAAAGATATTTCTAGAATGTTTAAGAAAGAATTTCCGATCGGACGGCGAGGGCATTAGCCGAGGGTTAGTATTTCGTCTCAGAAAGCACTTCGATGGCAAAGAGCAAGCTATCAATTGGAATTTTTGGCAGGGTCGAACTCATTATCGCTTTGCAGTGAAGTTTACGATATTGACATTAGCACAATAGATCCCAAGAACTTATCAAAGACAATATTTTAGCTGATGACTTGGGTTCCATTTGTGCTGTTTTTAAGTCATTGGCGACGCACCCCCTCTACTCGAGAGTTCCCAGGCCTGGGCAGAATCCCATTCGCGAAGAAAAGATACAATATCAGGCTTCGTGGGAGAATGAAAACGCAAATATGGCTCCTATCGAAAACCAAAAGATATGTAATAAATTCCTAGAGCCTCTTATCAAGGTTCTGGAGTCCAATAAGGCGCCTACAATTCCAGCAGTGCAGGATTTTGCGAAAATCGTACTGTATGAAGTACTCCATTATCCGATTAATTCTTAGCCGGACGAACTGGTAGGATAGGCTTGCAAAAGTCCTCCTGTTAGACCTGGAGCAAAACAGAGTGCAAAGACTTCCAATGGCTAGATACTTTCCTTTAGGAACCTGAACAGCAAGAATAGGAATGCTCAATCGATCGCGCGCAACTGGATCACCTTGGGTATCGTCTAAAAGATCCGATCTACTCACTCAAAAGAACGAAGGTTGATTCAAAGGTTCAGCTGATGATTACAAAGCTTGGGACCAATTTCGACAAGGAATTGTGTGAGCGGCAAAAAGCCTTTAGAGAAGTGGAGAGCAAGCTCTCTGGGTTGAGAGGTGACTACTTGAAAGGTCTTTTGGGTGATGAGAAGTATAAGGAGCTTTCCCATTGGAAAAGCATGGACACAAAGCTTTAGCAAACAAGAGACCGTTAGTGGAGAACGGCGATGCACCGCGATGTGTTTACACGAAGCCCTCGCGTGCAGAGCGAATCCAGATTGGATAGCAATGATCATTGTTGATATGAGTCTATGTAGAAGTAATATCCAGAACTACCCAACTCCGGCTCTATAACCCTTGTCATGCCCGCGTAAACTCCAAACCAAATCATATAGGATATCATGAATCATGCTTGCAAGGCCTCAAGGCCGACGGTGAAATCTTCTATCTCCATCCCTCTAAATCCTTCTTCAACGACCCAAGCTCGGCCCTTTTCAGGGGTGAAAAGAGTCTCGCAAGATCGTCCAACAGCCAAGAGACCTGGAGGCCGGCTACCCTCTGTCTCAATAGCCTCAGCAACATGCTCAAGTGTGGTTCTAATAACCCGCTGGTCGGGACAACTGGCACGCTCAATGACAGCACACGGAGTGTTGCGGGGCCAGAGTACTCTCTTGCTCTCGCCTGTTACGGGCGAGACTTGAGTAGGTTCTAGGGGAGGAGGGAGTTGCGCCGAAGCAGCCTCTTCGTTAGCCGGGGCGAGAGGCTCGAGCTCGATGTGAGTGGTCAGCTCACGAATGAGGCCGTTGATTCGGTGAAGGGCCATGAGGAAAACCACAGTACGACTGGGCACGAACTCTGGTGGTGACGGAGACTTGCCTTTCTTGCCCGTGCCAGTGCATATCAGGATCTGGTCAGCAACATCACGTTGCGTAGGAGGGATGGCAGCGAAAAGGGGGGCACTAAGAGCACTTGTCACGCCTGGGAGAACCGATACTCTGTCTCCAAAGCCGTGTTGACGGAAGTAGGCAACCTCTTCACCACCACGACCGTATACATATGGATCACCCTGCTTGAGACGCAAGACTGTCTTGCCCTCTTGAACTCCAGCGAGAGCCATTTCGAGAAGCTCTTCTTGGGCGCGGTCTGCGTTACCGGGGAACTTACGAGCAATCTGGACAGGAGTGCGACGGGGGATAAGGTCAAGGACACCAGAAGGCACCAGCTTATCAGCGAGAATAAGATCAGCGGTCTTGATAGCTTTATGGGTAGCCTGGGTGAGGAGATCAGGGTGACCAGGTCCGCTACCGGCCAAGATAATGGTACCAACACGCTTCTCTGGTGTACCGGGATGGCGCTTGATATCGGGACCGTTGCCGGGATATGACTTGAGAACCGTCTCAACATCATTATCGGTAATAGCAGCGAGACGTTTGAGGGGCCAGTATTCACAGACTTGACTCAACCAACGCACCCTTCGGTTCTTTGCATCCTCCTCAGTAATCAAGCGGTTGAATTGAGCGTTTTGATCGTACGAATCGTCGAGAGAGGCGGGGTCGTCTTGAGCACCTAGGGAATCCTCATCATGGATGCGACGGCGGACGTCTCCAAGGCGCGTACAGGCAGCGCCGAGGTTGACGGGGAGAGAAGCGGCAATATCACGACGAATTCTCGAGGCTAGCTTACAGCCACGACCATTTGTAGTGACGCCGATCTGGAGCGGCCCGTCGGTATGTGTGGAGAGGAGAGAGAATGTGCAGAGTTGGGGAGCGTCAACAACGTTTACGGGAATGCGATATCGTTTACAGAGGGCAGAAATACGAAGGCCTGGAGCAATAGTTAGTATCATCTTTGTAGTTTTGGTAAAAGACCTACTTTGGGGGTCTCGTGGTCCTGAAGTGACAAAGACAGCATCGACTACACCATCCACTTCCTCGCGGCCGAGCCTTAGCAAGTCGGCGTCTTCGAATTTCTTCTTGTGCCATTGGACACTACCATCGTCGATCTTCTTTTGCAGAGCATAGTGAAGTTCAGAGCCTTCGGGGGCAATGAGGATTGGTTTTGCGCCAGAGCTTAGAGACTGGGTACATCGAGTCGCAGCGAGCGGGTTGGTGCCGATAACGAGATGAGTATTGCCTCTGCAGTTGAGAGCTGCGAGAAGCGATGAAGGTATTATTGATGTCATTTTCGAATAGAATAGACAAACTGAAGGTGTCTGCTTATACAGAAAATCAAGAAAATAAAATGTTTCACCTCAACAAAAACGCACCAAAATATCGCGACTGCGAGACTCGGTCGGCTTATAAAAGAGCTCCCTCATGAATTAGTTGAATGAGACTAGACCCTGAACCCCTGCTCTTTCCCTCATGAGCAGATGGAAAAAAAAGTTACCCCATTGCCCCTCCCCCTCCAAAGACTCCAAATCACGGTCGTGTCATTGGCTCAAACTCACGCCATCAATCTAATCGGGCGGTCGGCGGACACCAAAGAGACCCTTGATAACGCAATCGCCGACTTCCGCGGGCCGCAACCGGAGATGTCAGAATTGCGATAAAGCACGTTATTTCGAGTCCGGGCAGCGATAAGATGATCTGATGCAGGAGCATGCAATTCCGTGGTTTTGGTACTTTAGACGGAGATGCAAATTTCGAGAAAACCATCCGATATTGAAACACTAACAGAACAGCCATGATATGGACTTCCTATATACTCCGTATTTAGCAGTCGAATCCATGTGATGATGAAGGAATAGCAAGGCCAATTATCACAAATTGTCATTCATTAAGGGGAGACAAAAAGATAGTTTTGTCTTTCTCAAAACGCATCAATTATCGTGGAGGCTCACTCCAGAAACACCACCATGACACCGAAGCTCACCCAACTAACCATCACAGAACAAAAATAACTCAAAAAAGAAAGCCTCGCAAACGCTCGCAATCGAATTTATAGGAACAGCCCGATGCGCCCGATGCGGGGGTCGAACCACCTTGAGATCGCGTACTCGTAAGAGTCTCACGCTCTACCGATTGAGCTAACCGGGCGTGGCTCTTATTGTTGAAGTTCATCGTCGAAACGGCGTACAAGAAACAAGAAGTCAACAAGCAAGCGGACCGATTTGGACAACATTCAAAATGCTGTTGGATAGACTAGTGCCTCACGACTGTCAAATGTGATTCGAAGGCTACAAGGAGCACGCTGCATAAAGTCGTGTCATTATCTTGTTGTTTTGGTGTTGAGATCTATCATCATGCCCAATATCGTCATCATGACTACCTGGCCTCGACTCGAACCAGTGTTGGTACATCTATTTTACATATAATACATCCACCTATGATCGACCTCTTCTGTCAGAGTCGTCTTGCAGTTCAGCCTCTACTTCTTCATCCATTTGCTTGGCGATTATTCTCTCTTCCTCTTCCTCCGCCTCGAGAATCTCCTTGATAAGGCGGCTCTTCTTGTCCATCTTGTTCTTTCCACGACGCTCACGAGGGGCGTTCTTCTCATTGGCACTGATTCCGCCAGGTCCCATGACAATCTCGACCTTTCTGGGCTTCTTGCCTTGGCCGGCTCGTTTACCACCGTCGTCGGGTCCCTTGCCAACACGAGCGTTACGTGGAACTCGCGTTTTGGCTCCGAGAGCCCAAAGGTCGCCCCATCGTGACTTGCGAGCATCGTGGTATGCGAGTTTGCTCTGGCTCTTGGTGACGGTCCATCTCTCAAGCTTGCCTTCTGGTGTACAGAAGTCAAGGGTGACATGGCCCTTCTTCTTCAACGGAGGCATAATAGATCGTGGCAGGCTCTGCATATCGGGCTTTTCGTCAGAGTCTTCGTATCCTTCGAAGGCTCGGTTCGCAGCCTCTTTGCCGCTTATAGACCGCTCCTTAGCAACACCCCGCCTGAAGGCAACATAGCTAAACTCGACTTCACCCTGGTTTCTCGTGCTGTTTCCAAGCATTCGAGAATAGAACGCGGGACGGACAAATCTCTGGCTGAAATGGCAGTAGTCCTTACGGCCTTTACTTTTACCAGGTGTCTGGTACATCGGGCACAGTCCCTGATTAGTACAGGGAGCAACAACGTATCCGGGCTCCTTTTCGCGTTCATAAGCAGGGTTGAATGCTTCATTATCAAGCTCTGGCTCTCCGGATTGAGGCAAAAGGAACTGCCGAAGAACGGTGTCTCGAACATGAGCGACAGCCTCAAACCCTCGAGGATGAGCCTTCTCTAGGACAATAAGAACACCTCCATCTTTGTTCAGTAAAGACCAGAGTTTGTTGAGGACTGCTTGTCGGTAGTGGTCCTGTTCTTCCTTCAGAAATAGGTGGGAGGCGATAATGACATCGTAGCTCTTGCGAGGTTGAGGCTTGCTACCCGCATCTAGATGCTCACCCTTCATCTCTCCTGAGTGCTCATAGTCGGGAAGTCGAGGGAGGAAAGTGGTGTTTTCCAGGAAAGTCTTGGTGCGGTGTCGTAAACGATCAGAGCCAATAATGACAGTGCGCTTGCCGGGAGGTTCGTCTCCCTTGATTTCACCCTTTTCCTTCAGTAGATCCCATTCTGCTCGCACAATCTCGTCCCAGGCAATCAAGCCTGCGCCACCAGACCCTGCGTCAAGAACGCTTATACCACTGCCATCTTTAAGCTTAGACTGGAGCCACCTGCTTCCGACTCGCTTGCGAACTTCTTTGAGGGTAGCCATTATTGAAGCATAGGCTGGCGGCATGAAGCCTGCCAAAAAAGCATCGCCTTCAATCTCAGTCATGTGTCGCTGATCTGCTGGAAGGCCAACACCAAACATATTTCCATTCCTCTTGGCTTCAGGTGTCGCGGGAGACAGGGGAAGACCTGGACCGCCAAACGCTGTTTCGGCGGCACTCTTAACGTGATCGATATGAGTTCGCTGTAGAAGATCACGAATCGGCATGATCATTTCGTCCTGTGGCAAGAGAATCTCAATGGGGCTTCCCCAGAAGCGACCCTCCAGAGTCAAGGGATGAAAGCGTGCCTCCTCGCCAGTGGGTCGCTCGCTGGGCTCATACTCCTCAGGCCAGGTCGCTTTCGTATCTTCCTCCAGCTGTTCCATCTCTAGCTCTTCCTGGGCTGCCGCTTCATCTTCAGCTTCTTGTTGCTTCTGCTGTGCGACCTTGAAGTCCTCCGAAAGCTTCTGTAGTGCATCGTATTCCCGTTGGCTTCTGGCAACTAAGTCCACATAGCCTGGCACCACTTGGTCGATTGCGCGGTCCTCCAAGTCGGGTTCCGGAATCGGTTCGTGGATGTCTTCGACACCCTCATTTAGAGGAATTTCATAAGTGACCTCCTCAAATTCGCCACCCTCCAGCTCTCTCAATATAATGCCTTCGTTATCTGGTCGTGGGGACTGTGGTCCCATGTCTGCATGCTCTGGAATACCGACATCTTCAGGTCTCGTCTCACGCAGCGGCGCACCGTATAATCGTTCGTATACCGCATACTCTTCATCGTTCAGATATCCTTTTGGTAAAGTATCTCGAAATCTCTGTTTAGCGTCTCGGACAATTTGCTCAATTTCTTCTGGCGACGCCTTTCCCGTTGTTTCTGTGTCTTGTCGCAAATATCTTGACGTCGAAAATGCCTGTGTAATTGCAGCCTTCCTATTGGGCTGCAAGTAACGGGAGGAAGAAATACGTTGCGAGCGAAGTAAAGGCGTGGAAGAAGAATAAAACCGTGAAGATACTGTTAATAAGGAGGCACTACACCTCGGACAAGCATTTCGGATTCTTCTGGAGGACAACATTTTCCGTCCTATACAAAGTTGAGGTTGGAGTGGAAGTTTTCAAATCGTTGGTACAAACTTGAGGTTGGAGTGATCACGTGACACCGTGACACGCTACAACGAAAAATATATCAACGGGTCGAATGACTCTAGAACTGTATAGTAAGTTCGCCTGAAGATATTGAATAATGATGCCTATGTAAAGTCCTATACCAGTGAACGCCATCCCCAGAGTCTCTCTTAATCGCCACCAAGATCTGCCAAGGTCTTGAAGGACGAACGTGGAGGAGCTCTGGCACCACCAACGCTCTGCGAACCACCAGTGTTTCTTGGTGCTGGTTTACGATGAACATTGAAAGGGCTCTCTTCCGCTGACTTATACGGGTCAAACTACCATCTAATTAGCAAAACCAGTATTTCACACTGAAAGACCGCCAGTCGATCACTTACCGTTAGCAAAGAAACAAAGTATAGCCCAAAGAACGCTATTAGAGCATCGAAGACGGCTTTCAAGTTCCACTGCTTGGACAGCGAGGCAGATCGTGACTCGCCACCGAGCGTTCGCCCGGGAGTCTTGAAAACATTGCCAGTGGGTGGTCCGCCAAGCTTGACCGCATTATTTATAGCTGCCGTAAGAGCAGGAGGGTTAGCACCCTTGATGGTCTCGATGCAGGTGCCGTTGTGGAAGATCTTGAAGGTCGGCATGGCGGAAACACCTTGGGCTCGAGCGATGCCGGACTGGTTATCGACGTTGACCTTTGCGAAAGCAACCTTCTTCGGGCGTGAGTGTTCTTTGGCGAGAGCTTCGAATGTAGGAGCAATCATCTTGCAGGGACCACACCAGTCGGCGTAGACTAAGCAGAAGTCGTGTTAGTGATGATATGGACATTTGCGGAATGTTCGAACGTACAATCTGCGATCACCACATTTGTGCCCGAGAGGAGACTACTCCATTCGGACTCGGAAGCAATGTTAATGGGGCCGCTCATGGTTGCGATTTCGTTATTGTTGAGTCTGTATGCTCGTCGTGAAAGGCCACATTTGTCGCATCCTGTTAGCCATCATGCTGACGAAGCGTGGGCGAGCCTCGAAAGCTCTGTGTTAGGCAGGCGGTGGCCAAGGCGGTGATATTCTGCCGGACATTCGGCCCCACTATCACAACTTTTTGCTAGAGTTTGGCTGTCGCAACTTTACCTCGAGAGGATCTACATTTTTCAGATCTTATCAGTCCTTATAATTAACCACAAGATGTCTTACTCAGAGCGCAATTCTAAGGTATGTTATAAATCAGCATCAGATTCACACCAATAAATGTATTAACTTTTCCCAGAAACGCAAAACCGAACATAATGGTCGGGAGGGAGGTTCCGCCAGACCTTCCACGATATTTGACCCAATTGAAGGTGGTCGGCCATGGACCATCTCCGTTGCCATTCCCAGCAGTATCCTTTCAGAGTATGTATCTTGTTAATGTTAGCTACCCCCTTACTAACCAACAATCGCAGTCTCGCTTCCGCTGACCAGCGAATGAACCAACCCGCCCGCATTGCTCGTGCCCTCGCTGCTTTCTCTGTCGACGAAGTGGTTGTTTTCGACGATTCTCCTCTCGCGACCCGTCCTCGTCACACAGATACCAGCATTTACACAGGCGACACCGATCCATGCCATTTCCTCACGCATATTCTAACCTACCTAGAAGCGCCGCCATTTATGCGCAAAGCCCTCTTCCCTCTCCACCCTAACCTGCGACTCACTGCCATGTTGCCCACTCTCGACATGCCCCACCACCCAAACCCCAAGGACTGGATCTCTTATCGAGAAGGAATAGTCATCCCTGGTGAGACTAGCACAGGTTCTGGTTCGCTCGTTGAAGTTGGCCTGGGGGAGCCTGTCGAGGTTGAGGCCAAGATCCCTCCAAAAACACGGATAACACTCAAGTTCTCCGAGGATGAGACCCAATATCCTGAACCTGTGCATCCTGCTGCACCAAGAACTGAGGGCGGCTACTACTGGGGATACAATGTCAGAAGGGCCAGTTCTCTCTCCAAAGTTTTCACTGAGAGCCCCTACGAGAACGGTTACGATGTCAGTATTGGCACATCTGAACGTGGTGTTCCGGCCTCTAGGGTTTTCCCGCCATCTAAGAGAGTCAACTTCAACCATCTTATCATTGTCTTTGGTGGCCCGCGAGGCCTGGAGTTTGCAGCAATGAACGATCAAGAACTCAGCAGTATGGACATCCAGGGTCCCAGGACCAAGGAGTTGTTCGACCATTGGGTTAACGTTTTGCCCGGTCAAGGATGCCGGAATATCAGGACAGATGAAGCTGTGTTCATTGCTTTAGCAACATTGAGAGGTATTTGGAATTCTAGTTAGTTTACTGGTATAGCGCTCGATACCCTTATTAAGCTTCCCCCTTTATTATCTGACATCAAAAAAGCATGTCAAAATGCTCATGATACATACAAAGCCAAAGTATCTGCGAATGTACTGTTGTTGTCACTAGCCGGAGCCAAATCCACACCGTCTCGATGCACCATGATCCTGGTGCCCACTGTAGTCAATCCTAGAAACTTCGTTCCAGGGCTCATGCCTTGAATGCTCAAAGTTCTTGCTTGGCAGAATCCGGGAGATTTGTTGCTAGCACAGGTATCGTTGTAGTTCGTGAAAAATGAATACAGCCCTGCCCCATAGACGGCAACGTTGCTGGAGTTGAGAATCCTCATGCCCCATCCCATATTGCATCCTGGATCAGGGTCGTTCTGGCAGTCTTGCTGAAAGTTTGGATCGTTCAGTTCTGGTACAACAGGGAATGGGTACTGAGCCACGGGCATGGGTTGAAAGTATGCCTGTTCTGTTTGTGCGTGGCCAATGTAAACATCTCTGGTGTTGGCGAGTTGGTATTGATACAGAACATGGTGTTCTGAACCAGAGGCACTGAGCCAGATGCGGCCTCTCTGTGCCTCCACAAGAACTCCTCTTCCTGCAAAGATAGAAACACGTTGGTATTTTTGATCCTCAAGATCGTGATCTGCGACCCAAAACCAGCAATTTTCTGTGAATAAACCCCCAGCGAAAGCCGTTACGTGGAAGCTCATGTAAGCTGCCAGACATCTCGGGTTAACAGTGTTTGTCCCTTTGATAGCAGGGCAGTCTGGAACTTGAAGATAGGTCCCAGCAAAGCCTCCAATTCGAGTGTGTACATCCCACATGCCTGAGGGGGCTCCAGGAGCGAACAAATTATACTGAATTAGGATGGCACCTGCTGTTGGCCCACGGGTTGATACTACTGTATCTGACCACTCGATCTGGCCAACATCACCAGGGCGACCTACTTGAACGACAGGCCGAGGTTTTCTCAGGTCCCCAAAGTTGGGTCCTGTTCCCATGATGATCGACGCCAAGGCTTCACCTACAATTCTGGCATTCGGTGGGATGTGTACAGTGTCTGAAACCATGTAGTATCCTGCATCGAGATATGCAATGAGCCCTTTGGCCGCCGTGTACTGGAATAAGGCATTGAGCGCCTGGGTATCATCATGTGATGCGTCACCGTATGCACCATTTGCTTTTGCTGAGATGAAGGAGCTGCCTTGAACTTGCTCGTACTGAGGCTTTGATCGCTCGTAGTAGATATTGCGATCAAGGAGATTTTGACTCCGAGTGAAAGGGAGCGGATAAAGAGCCGTCGCATCGAATGTGCCTTCCATGTTTGCGTAGTGCCCCTGATTCCGTTAGCAATGTTCACAGTTCCGCGAGTTGGCCTACCATCAGGAAAACAGCGCTGTCTACTGGTGCTATAGCAGAACGTGCCAGATCAGTACCTGCAGGGCCCATGAGAACGCTGTTCACATTCTGAAATTTGACATTTTCCATCGCCAGAGAAGCTGCGCTGCTGATACTCTGCGAAGTGTTGCGTGTTGTAGCGATAGCCACATCGACATTCTCGAACCAACTGTCAAGGATTGTGATAGAGCCAACGCCAAAAGAGGAGTCGTCCATCTTGATGCCCACTCGACAGTTTTTAAACACGGTACTCTTAAAAGTCCACCCCCAGTCCCAGGTCATCCATATCGCGACATCGGCATTAGAGAACCAGAGGTTACGTGCTGTGAATTGTTGATTACCCAAAACTGTAGCGTTCCCCCCACCAAAGAAGTAAAGGTCATTTAGAAGCCCCCCTGATCCCTCTTCGATGAGGAGACCTGTGTGCTGATTTCCAGGAACGGTCGACAGTTGGAATACGCAGTTGGTTATAGTTGTTGCCTGAGATGACGGCCAGTGTATACCCACAGCAGGAAAGTCTGGGGGAAGGGCAGTTGTATCCAAAACCAGATTACGAATTTGGCGAAAAAAGACGTTTGTCGAGTTCCATGCGAGGGCGCCAGTAGATAGATATGGATTCCCATCAATTAAACCGAAGCTTTGCTTAGAAAAGGAGGCGGAAGCTTTGATGACAGGTCGGTTTGTAGGGTCACCAATGATTTGCGTATAGTACAAATCAATGAGTGAGTTGCTGATGAGATACGTTCTTTCTCTGTTAGCAATACTGAATTCGCGATGTTATTCGGGGCACTCACCCAGCTGGGATGTAGACAGTCGCGGGTGAAATAGTGCTTCCTTTGCACACACCAGGAATACATCGAACACCTTCACTGATTGCTGCATTTATAGCGGCCGTGTCGTCCGCGACTGTTTTGTTAGCTAACAATGGAAATGACTCCGAGTGAAGTACGAACCTCCATCGCCAATAGCACCAAAGTCTTTCACGTTGCGAAACACGGGGTAAAGCTTGTCGGGATAATAGGGAGCACTTCCACGGTGTTCGATATCCTCAAGCCAGTACCTCGCGTCGGCACTACCCAAAAGGGTGAATGGGAAAAGGAGAAGGAACTTCATAATGAAGAACCTGACAAGAGCGCAAGTGTGAATATATAGGTAGCCCAAGTCGAAAAGTGTGAGTTGATCAAGAAAACCAGAGTCGAAAGAAAACGGTCGAGAAGTTGAAAGTACCTTAGATATTTGATGGACGGGATACTAAGAAGTTACGGCCGAGCACCTCTATGATTAAGAAATGGGAAAGAGCTTGTTCGCTGTCGCTCTGCTCTTCCCTTGCATGTGTTCAAGAGTACGACTGCGCCTTCCCCATGGCAACCAGATTAACCATCCCAAGTCCGAGATGTAGGTAGAGCGTAATGTGATCACAAGATACGATCATCTGTAGTGGAACAAGTCTAATGTAGGGCAGTGATTCATCAACTCCAACTTTCTACACAAGAGATGGAAGCCCCTCCGGGCAGTGTCAGCTCATGACAAGAGCAACTTCTCATCATCCCACTACAAATATCAGGTAAGATAATCAAGTAACTCCGAGTCATGCTTGAGAATCACTACGAGAACATATAGGGCAGGCTCTGTGATGGGTTGATCATATAATCAGATTGTGGGTGACGTCGTTCCTGTGATGAACGAACCTATTCAGAGGAGTTCAGTTACACAGCAAGGAAAATATCAGAAAAGCCACCACGTTGACATGCAGATAGTCGATGTACAACCCGCTAGGGGTGAGTGATTGTATTGTATATGAGTGTGCGACAAGGTCGCAGCAGCCTTGTTGAAGGCCATGCTTTTCTAGTTGAATGTTTGACCCTATCCCAAAACGCCTTCCGATACGGTCATAGCCCATGATTATTTAGTGTAGTGAGGTGTGGTTGAGGTGGAAAGTAGGAGTACAGTGATCTTTTTAGATCGTCGACTGTGTTGAGTCGAGGGCAACGGCTTGGCCAAGGCTTCCAGTGGCCATAGCCTTCTCACCGGAGCGCTTGCGCAAAACATTTTCAATAAAGGCTTCACCAGCCTTGTATGAAGAACGCACGAGAGGTCCACTGGCACAGTACAGGAAGCCCATGTCCAGAGCTCGCTTGCGCCACATCTCGAACTCATCAGGGGTCACGTACTTCTCGACCTTCAGATGACGCTTGGTAGGTCG